AATGGTAACTATCAAAACGCCTGCCATTTGAGATAAATAAATATGTCTGCCTTATATGTTCTCTTTCTGCTTTGTGATTGGATATTTTCACACTTGAAAATAAAATTACATTTATTGATTGCAAATAATGCAAAATAATTTGGTCAATATATTGCTTCCTTTACCCTATCGATAAATTTCCCGATTTCCTCTTGATGTCTCAAATATAGCGTTAAAAAAGGAGGCATTCCAAAGAAACACTAACTTCACTAGACCTTACTGAAAGTTTGCATTCCACTTGTGACAGACCTTTCATTTAATTTGTTTTCTATAATCTCAAATATGACATTTACTTTTGTGTTACATATCACATTAAGAGCATGTAAGCTTTTTTCATATTTAATCTCAACCAACGGATTGGAAATAAATTAAAAATTTAGAATTTAGGCATTTAAAAAGAATTATAGAAACGAGTATTATATATATGACAATTTTTTGCTTAATTATTGATCTACATGATACGTTCAAATAGCTGAATATTCAGTAATGTAGAAGCAATCCGATTATAACTATGCCTCTTGAGATTTGTCATTGTTTGCCTCCTCCTGAACGGCTCTATTTTCCCATGTGCTCTTGTTTTGTTGCAGTTGTTCCATCCATTGAAAGTCTTGGAGAGCAAAAGAAATAAGAGCATTATTTACTTTTAAGTAAAGTCATAAATCCGCAAATTAGCTTAACATTCCCTATTTATTTGCTTTATTAAACTATTTTTCAATTATGCCTATTTCATTTGCGATTTGAAGCCTTCACCCCATGTGCTCTTTAAGAGGTGTGTTGGTCCAGCATAAATAAGTGTTCCAATTTTACATAGATCGCCAGCAATCAAAACTCATTTGACCGTAATGGAATGAGGTACCTCTTCAAATCGGAACCCCAATTAAGCAAGTACTCATGCTCGCCCTAGGTATTTTCTCCCTCTATAGCTCACCTCTGTAAGGATTGAACTTACAGAAATTTATCAAGTTTTCTATTTATTGATCTCCTTCAATTTGACTACAATTCCGTTACCTTATGATTTTCCCAATCTTAAAAAAATGTAAAACTGATGACTTTCCACTATTCTTTTCTCTTTTTTCTCATTTTTTGTGACCGGATTTAGCAAACCTGGGACGTGATGGTTTTGTATTCGCTTTGTTCATTGATACCTACTTTGAGAAAGCCCTCCATAAAAAATACATACCTGAATGAAACGATCGGTATTAATAATAGAGGTAACGATCATAAAGCATGCTATTTGAAAGAATAAGCAAAATTCTCACGAAATCTGTGAAGATATTTTATTGCGCAGTTATTTTCAAATAAAATCCTACGCTCATAAGACACAAAGAAATCTTGAGGAAATCTGTTAACTACTACTACTAGAGTGCCATTTACAAAATAAAAGACTAATAGGATTAAAAAAAGAACGACTAACCTCCAAGAAATGGGGAAGTTTTGGAATCAACTCCATCATTGCAATCCTCCGTCCTAACATCCTTGTGAAACTTTTTTAGCAGTTCATAGAGCAGTTGGTATGTAGGCATCACAATGAAATTAATGAAACCTGGATTTGTTAGGAAGCATAAAGTAATGAAATATCCTCACATTGGGAAATGAAATCGAATGTAAATGTATCGAATCACTTTAAACTGACTTAATAGGCTGGGAAAATAGAAGGGGTTAGTGAATAAGTTATCGAATGAGCAGAACATTTGGGCTAAAATGTTCTCACTGAACACAACGGGGAGTGGGGAGGTGGGGTGGGGTGAGGGAGGGGTGAATGGAATGATGTACACCTTCATTTATATATAACTCAAGTTAGTTCGATGAAAAAATCTATGCCACCTTTTTAGTCAATAAGAATATTCGATATGAGCTTTTAGTAGATGAACTTGTTATTATGCAATTATTATTATATATGCTCCTTTAAGAGGAGACTCTGAATGAACTCTGCTAAGATGTGTTAAATTCACATCATCTTGTTAGTTTCTTTTCCAAAAAAAGACATCGTCCATCGTTCCTTATTTATTTAACTTTCTGATAACGATTTCAGTCGTTTCCCACAACGCAAAAAATTAAGAATTTTCGCATTATTTGCTAGACTTATATTCGAGAAATGGGGCGTGCGATAGCCGTACCTCCATGTGGAGTACCCTGGGCAACATATGCTCATACAGCAAAAAAATCTATTAACCAGCAGCTGACTTCAGACTTAAAACTACCATGACCCCACTCTATGTCATATTCGACTACTTCCACAGTACTCATCTCACTTTCTACCTTTGTGTCTGTCTGTTTCTCACTTCTGTGAATCACTCTTCTATTCCCCCCTTCCCCTCTCGACCTTTTTCACTTTGATGTTCCTTCTCCTCTGTGAAGCCTGAAGTCAACTAAAGGGCTAATGATAACTATGAAATCGCCTGCCATTTGATATAAATAAATAAATATTCAATAAATTGCTGGTGATTACTTGTACTGCCTAACTTCAGCCACCTTTATGAATTTTAGAATGACTAGAGTCTTACCGACTTGACTTTGGGACACCATAGTTGTTTTCCGATCGCAAAGTGGAGAAACAGGAAGTCCTCGAGCGGTTTCACAGTCACCCTAAAATAAAATATCACTTTGACTTCACTGATCCGCCAAAACGATTCTAATTGCCAAGTCGTCACAATACTCACACTAAGATCCATAGATTTGCATATCTGTCCATATACTTGCCCAAAATCTACGGAATCTAATCTCCCGGAGATAATTCCAATTCATCTACCTGTTACTTCCTCCTTCTGCACATAATCCACTGCGTTTATTTACTATAAGCACATCAAGGTCAATTCTTCTCATATGGAGCAAACTGTGGCATTTTGTTAGCAGGTGTTTTGCTAAACTCTCAAGGTGGGTTTATAGTGGAGGCCAGTGTCGCTTTATTGGAGAGTAGAATATTTATTGAAACTTTCATTAAACTAAGCACTTATTCGATGTTTCCAATCAGAAGCCTTTCATCGTAAGTGAACCAATTTTATGCAAAGTTTAGGTAAGTCTGTGAAAATTTGAGGATTTTACTTGTAAGCACAATTGAAGTCTTAAGATATGTAATGCTAGAGAAGGAGACTTTTTACCTGGTTGAAGAATTCCTCCACCAACATTTGCGTCCATTTCTCATGGAGTTCCCAGGATTTAGTAGGATGAGAGATGTCAGCTGCGTGTAGAATGAGAGAGTAGGCTTTAGGTCGTTCGATCCTACGTTGAAGAAGCACACTCTTGTATTAGATAGATTTTAGTTTGATAAATGCTCAATCTAAACTGACAAAACTTATTTTATGCAATAAAAAGCGATTTATCACTTATTATACCATCATAATTGAAATGTTTATAATCACTAAGTTTTTACCTTTTGCCTAGTGTAGTAAATAGATCATTAGAATTCTTATTTGATTAAAATTGTGTCGATGGTTTCAAAAAATATATTTACAAATCATTATGAAGTTTTAGAATGGTATGAATCTATGATTGGCGGAATAGTGGCCAATGCTGTCTAAATTCCAGCATAAAGCCAATTTAGGTTTCAGATATAAAGAGTTCCGATGACGACGAAGAGGACTAATGATTGTTCGATGGCTAACACGAAATAAGAAAGGATGAAAAGACCAAGAACTGGACTTGCAAAAAAAATCACTCATTTACAGGATATATTTTAAAACGGATGCGTGGCCCTCTACTTACTTTATATAAGTAGAAAAATAGAGTATAAATAATAATAATAATAATAACTCGGTTTGGATAGTGAGGTTATAACTTTTTTTGAAGACAGACGTACGGTTCAGGAAGCCTAATGAGTTTAGTCACAGTTTTGATTTGCGAAAAGTGCAAGGACATGTCCGTGTTGAGAACCATTTCAATGACAAGACGTCGAATATCTCTAAAATGAAAGGCAAAATTTCAACTAGTTAAATTGACTAGTATCTATGTAACTTTTTTGGATCAATTTAACGCACACAAATTTTGCCAAGGAAGATTGTTGTAGTTTAGTCAAGGCTTATTTATTTTATATCCTCTATAATATCGATCTATTCGTTAAGTAGATATTTTACATTTTGAAAGCAAAAATTAATTTCTCAACAATCGTTCGTTCTTCTATATATCAGTATTTTATTTATATCAAATTGCAGGCGTTTTGATAGTTATCAATAGGCCTTTAGTTGACTTCAGGCTCCATAGAGGAGAAGGAACATCAGAGTGAAAAAATGTCGAGAGTGGGGGGGGGGGGGGGGTGGAATAGAAGAGTGTTAATAGACTTTTTTTGCCGTATGAGTATACGTTGCCCAGGATGCACCACGTGGAGGTAAGTCTATCGCGTACCCCACATCAGTATTTATTGTGCATGTTTATTGCTAACCCAGAAGGACAACTTTTATATCTCTATTGGCTAAATGATTTGCAAGGTTAAAATAACTACATGATTGGAGGAAAATAAGTAAACGAAAGAAAGTAAACTGATAAGGAGAGAGTTTCAACAAACTTACTGAAATTGGCAGCGAGGCACATTGACGAAGATATTGAACGCAGGGAGTTGAGTCACTCTATAAGCAGCACTAATGTGGTGATTTTCCAGAACTCCTCTATCATTGTACAGAAGCGCCAGATGTGACCTTCAATATTTTTGCAGGGAAAATGAATTCAACCAATAATAATAGTTAGCCAATAATAAAATTTTGGGTACATGAACTATCAGTAAAACAAAATGCTTAAAACCAGGTATCTAAAGATATTCAAGCCAAATTTGTCAGTACTAAAGCATTCTTTTTTGGAATAAGTAAGAAGATGATTAATTTATTAATTCCAATTGCTCCAAAGTACTAGGAGTTGAGGGATTACTTCGAGAAATCATTACCTTACGTTTATTTGATAAGCGTTTGTTGTGCCGGCATGTTCAAAGTCGTGAATGAGCGCAGCGAAGAGCATGGCGAATTTCTCCTCATTTGTCATTAAATCCTTGAAATTTAAGAGAAGAGAACTTAATTGATGGGTGATGAAAAAGAGGTACAACGAACAGCATTGAATGCACAGGGAAAACGAGATACAAGTAAGTATACCACTGAGCTTTGATTTAATAAAACTGGGTTTTTCTAATCTAAGTAACTTCAGGTGGGTATAACCGGATGTTTGTCCAAAAAAAGAGTGTGACATTTAGACGATTATCCCTACAGAGGCTTAGATCGGCCCCCATATTATTGACGTTCGTGAGAATAAGAAGATTTACTTATGGATTTTCGATGTCATCGACTAAATGCAAACGAAAGTGAGAAGCTAAGTGACTGACGGATAGGTAACTAGCCAAAGGCAATCTATCAACTGGTACTGCAAGAATTACGTCACGTGCTTGCCATCCGGATCTCTTCCACGAGGAACGTGATAAGGGTTCAAAGAACAAGTCTAGTAGGATAAGTAAGATGAAAAGATACTTGACCTGATGATTCTCAAATCCTAAGACCGGGTTTTCTTGACCTTCTTACGCCTTCTTATTTCCACACAATGAAGCTTACCACAATGCGTGTTTGGATGAAGAGTTGAAGAACTTTCTGCCCTGCAAGCAGAAAGGCTGCCTTAATTTCACATCCTTCTCCATTTCTAACAACCAAGTGCCATTTTAGGCAAACTAGATTATCCTCCAAACTACTTAAAGTACTCGAAAATATGGATTTTAAAATGATAAAATAACTTACAATTAAGCCAGAACCCTCCATGATGGAGTTGCAGGTGTGAACAACGTCTGCAGCATGGATTAGATTGTGATATGGGTTGTTGTATTTGCTGTAACCGCATTCAAGTTGTGAAAGGAATGCCTCCAGTACTCTACAAGGAATCTACAAATGGAATATAATTGAATTCAACGTCAAAATTATTGCATCCCTGATGGTTACCCGAAATGATTGGAATTGGCTGTTGGGCTGTTGTTGCTGTCAATTTAAGCTAAGTAAAACTGGCCCTCAAAACGCAGTCCGTTACATCCCAATTCAATACTATGTACTTGATCACTCTCACTTTCTAATACTGGGTAGATATGAGCTGATCAGTTAGTGGTATGCAATTGGTCGGTGATCAAAAAACCCTGGTTTTTTAATAGCAGTGAAGGACTACCGACAGCGGTAGCTGGTGTAGTGAAGGGGGGTAAATGAATCGAATTAAATTAGTTCCGCTGACAGCACAACGATTTCAAATAATGTGCTACATTTACCATAACTAACAAGACTTGGAATGAAGCCAGAAATTGAAGTCAGTCAATATTTGCCATTTCATTTTACCATTCCGTGTTAAACCAGCACATTTGTGTGCAAAAAATGAGTTTGTACTTATAATGTACTTTCCTATCGACATATACTTATGCTATAAATTCCTTTTTGGTTATTTGGAAATGAAACAAAAGCTTAAATGAGATTCGTTGTATTGAGAAATTACTCTAAAGGAATATTCTGGTTTTCTTTCTTCTAAAGAAATATTTATTAGTCTGAGTGAAAAAAAATACGATTGACAATCTATCGCATCTTTGAACCACTATTTGTCTTAGTATTGAGATAATATTCTATGGTTATTTGTCCTGAAAGGCGTTTTGATGCCGTATTTTAAGGAAAAAACTGCATTTTCAGTCCACTTAAATTCTATTAAGCTGGCAAATGAAAATTTTAAAACTACCCTCGAAAATAAGATAGCCAGACAAAGTTGTTCAAATTATTAGGAAGACCAATGGCACACGGTTTTGCAAATAAATTTACTTTTTTGCACATTCTTCAAATTCTCTGGGATGAGTAATTATCAAGTAAAATACCGTGATTAGTAATGAAAAGAGTTTCTTTGATCTGTGATTAGTTTAGAAACAAATAAATGACATATCAAAGGATCACCGTTTTTTATTTCTACTTTACCTACGTCATGAATATTTTAGTCCTTTCTTTGAACTAAAGCCCTTCAAATACTTGAAAAAAGGTGGGAATAAACTCACGTTGAAAGTATCACAAATTCGGTGGCGTCGAAATATTTTAACGCCCACATAGGTCAGCACATGGCCCTCTACGAGAGAATTAAGACGAAATACGTCAAAACTCCAATTATTGGCATTTTCCTATGGAAACAGAAAAAAACATTATTAAATAGCCATTATTGAGGCTTTATAGCCATTACTCTTAATTACTACATTCCTAGCTCCACTTATTCTTAGACGAGATTATTGTACTTAGTAAAATAAATAAACTACGAGGGTTCAATTGTTTTAGTCACTAAATCAATCTCCAATTTAGCTCTACAACTTTTTTGGTAAAAGAAGAAATCGATTTTTATGAGGTTTGAGCGGAAAGATGCACAATATTCAAGCATAAATAAAGTCGGCCAATTTGGAAGCATACTTCTAAAAATTGAATATTATTTCAGGAGATAAAATTTATCTAGTCTGTGAATAGTATTGAAGAAGGTTGGAGGGATATTAACATCCGATATCATTTTACATTTTGAAAAATTAGAATCAATTTAGGTTTATGATAATTTAATTTGATTCACTTAATAACAGAAGAAAATACGTCACTAATTGGACAGGTACTTAACACTGACTCATCGTCTAACGAACGTTTTGTCTACCGAATGATAGTTGGCATGGACTGTAATCTGCAACCAATATAAATGAAATTCACTCAGTTCTGATCACATATCTTCTAGGATGTATACTTAAATTCAAAGTTTAGTATCGATTTAAAATTAAAAAATTTTCTTGCCCGAAACATATCATTGGCTTCTGGCGATGGTTTGAGACATATGAATGCACCTGTTCCAAACAACCTACAAGTTAAAAATTAATCGTTTTATTAATCGTTTAATATCAAAAATAGAAATTTTTGATTATATCAGTATGGGTGGTGAGCAATAAGCAATGCAAAAATGCTAAAATCAGTCTTTAACTTCATCTTTGATAAACTGAGATGCAAGCTTTCTCCTTGCCTGAAACAAGAGAAAACTATTATTTTGATTATTTCGACCTTGAATCCGCATTGAATTTCTAACCTTTGTTCATAAAACGCTGTAATTGTAGTCCAATATTTCTCAAAAATGTAAGAGGCAAATAGCGGTTGTGGAGTAACAAGCTTAAAATCCGAACCATTTTCAAATCACCTCGCCTCGAATGCCCATCATTTTAATGTCAATATCACATTTTCAAGGATATTTGAAGGGTCGACCTTACGGATTATACATGTATATAGACATAGTCTGCAATTTTCCTGCATGTCTAGTTTAAAAACAAGTAATTAATTAACATTTAAGCACTTTTTAACAAAAGGTTTAACTTCTTTTTTAAAAGCAGATCAATTGGGAAATTTTCTCTAAAATTTGGGAAATTTTAAGATTAGCTAGACCTACTAAAAAACGGAATACGCTAAATTGGTAACAAATTAAACAGTCTTTTCATTTTCCCTTTCGAAATTACCAATAAAGAAACTGAAGTTGGTTTATGGTGGCTATAATTGCCCTCAAGAAATAGAGTGATTACTCCACCTATTTTTCGTCACAGTAATTACTGCTTTCTTAGTGAAGGGCGAAATATACTCTATTTGTGGGATTTAATATACCCTACTAAGGCAATTTCTTAAGTTACACCTATGATGCTTTCAAATTACAACTACATAATGTCATTGCATTTCTCGCGATTTTAAGCACATTAGTGGTGGTTGACTTGGGCATAATTAAATAATTGTGCTTATATAGTAATATATAAAAGTTTTATAGCGTTTAGAATTATTTCATTTTTTGTTGATTATAGAATGAAAAGAAAATGTCTCATTTTATGGAAACATGTGAAAACGTATTAAATACTTCAGTAGTCGGAAGACAGGTACCGCGTAGATCATCAAAAGTGACTCGCAATGCTTGATCCATGTGCCAATATTCAAATACGTTTTTGAATTCTTCTTCGAGATGCTTAGAGCTTATTGATAAATCGATTAACTTTGTCGCACTTTTCCATCAATAGCCAATGCACAATCTAATGTCATTAATTCATTCTCATTTTTAATTGACATTTCATACTGAAAGAACTCTGTGCAAACATCTTTTCTTCAGGTCAATCTTCTTTCAATGTCTTAAGAGATTAATGAAGAGAAGATGATATGACTGAGTTGGCAAAATAATGACTGGCTTAGACAGGTATAGAAATTATATTACAGTATTATGTTAGCATTGTTTCACATTAATTATCCGTTAATGATTGTAAAAAATATTACGAATTCACTCTGTATTCCACACTATATTCTTAGTTTTTTAAAGGATAAATTAATAATCGTATTGAATCATATTAAGAGCCAAGTTTGAAGTGAAATTTCATGAATTGAACTTGGCTGATTGTTTTGCTCGACACTTTGATAACTACTAACTTTGCAGACATTTATCACCACCCTCGTAACGGAATTTATTTCAAACTCCAATGGGGACTCAAGCCTTGCCTTCTTGGCATGTCACGCACATATGCTTATCCGTAAAGTCCTCGAGGAATATCTCAATGTTCTTTACCTCCAACAGCTAGCATTGAAATAAATTATTCTAACCCCTCTCCTTCATCAGTACCAACTCCTTCTGCTAACTCACCTACTTCAACAAATACCTCTTCCGTTTCCAGTATCGCATATAGCCTCGTGTATTTAGAGGCCCTTCCCTATTGCATCAACTTAAAACTTAATTTCATTCCTATCACGTGATTGCTACCTTCTTATTCCAGTTTCAGCCAAAGATCTAGTGAACATTTTAATTATTTTATCAGGCTACAACAGATATCATTCTAATCCTGCTCCTTCAGTATGCTTTAGGATAATTAATTACGATGACTACATATATTATTCTAACAAAATGAAAAATGATTTTCTCCAATGTTTAGGCTTTATTTTACTCAAGGGTTTTTGCTTGCGATTAGTAGTTTTAGAGTGGCTTGGACATCTGTTTGAGTAAATACTTGAGATGGAGTGATTTATGTCAAAATGGTGCGTAATTACAACATCACTTAGATTATGTGAATTTCAACAACTTCTAAATAAGTATAAAAGACACTATCCTAGAAAGTTACAGTTTCCATATTAATGCAGAATTTCAATGACTCGGATATTATTCTCGCATTTTGTGGAGAATGAAAATTTCTGAGAAAATGTTAGTGACAAAAACTGCAAGATTATGAAAAAAGATTACATTTCTCCATGCGGAGAGTTTGTTCAAAACCAACCCATACATCATAAAAAGTGATAATAACAATTGTCGCGAAAATCTGAAATCTATCATCCTCTTATTTTCCAGAATTAATTCTACTGATGGTCATTCACATCATTGGAATTGAATCAATAAGTGTCAATCTCATTCTCCCCTGCCATGATAGACATAAACGTTTACGGGGGTGCGATTTGGACTTATATCCATTAGGACTGATGCTTTCAGCAAACTGATTAATTCGTTTCGCAACTATTAAAATGTTTCGCTTTCACGATCTTCATCTTTTCTGTTGATACAAAACAAAATTTAAAGGAATACTTTTCGTGTAAATGTTTGGGTTCAGTCATGATGAAATGTCCTAACTTGCTCTCAATAACTATGAGACCAACCACTTTGCAACGAGAGCTGTTCAATAAGCTTTGGACGTTGTGTACACAATTTCACTCGGAAATCTCTGAGACCATATCTGATATAGGAAAGTTATATAATTAAGACTGATGATATTTTCTCAGGACAAAAAGTTTTACCAATATATAGTCGTCGCGCACCTCACAATGACCTGATTTTTGCTTTCATTCAGCTCTATTAGATTCTTCCAGTTCCGCCATATTGAACCATTTTTGTAAAATTCTGCTATTATCGTGGGATTAAAAAAATAGTACCAACTTCGTCTTCAATGAGTGCTCTATCTGCCCAGTCTAAGGTAATTTACTTGCTTATTATGCATAATTAACACTCAATACATATAGTGAGTATTTGTGTGTTTGAAAAAGTAAAACAAGTTTAGTGATTAACTCCTTTTTACTCGTCTAAAACGGCGAAATTCTGTTTTTTAAGGAGAAGGTAAGTGGATTAGAAGGAGCATTACCTGTGTAATTTGATTCTCGCCTTTATTTTAATGGCGGCTTGTTTAAACGTAAGCCTTGGTGAGTTGCTTGCTCTTTGTTGCCAAGTGGCTTGTTTTGTGAAGGTTGATTCAAGCCACGTTCGAACCTCCTTTGACACCACGTTAACTCGGGTTTCACGTACCCTAGTGGATCTCTCCTTCCCTCCACCATCAACGCTCTTGCTTTCATCCTCGGTGTCAAAAGAGTTCAGCATGTCACTGAACTCGCTGTCATTATCCAGAATCTCTCTACTCGAAAGGGAAATGCAATAAAGGAGTCTTAAGCAACAGTCTTGCACAAAAGAACTTTACTTACACCGAAAATCCTGATGATCAATTTGCTTTAATTCACTTTACTAGTGTTTCCTTTATCAAGCTTTGCTAAAACCTAGAAATCACAATTCCCATTCATCAAATCGACTGTTCTCCTCTTTAATCGGCAACACCCCACCCCCTCCGCTGTCTTTAATCCTCTTTTTCCACTACAACGGATGCTGTGTCTGACCTTAGGCTCCGTCATTTTCATTGTCAGGCTCTGACAATGAATGTTCAAATCAATGTCTTTATTCCTAAAACTTTGAGCAATATGGGCATTTTCGTTAACCTATCATGGATTGGCATTATACTTTGGAGTTAAATCTAGAGAGCATCTTAATTTGCAGCCACAAGTTCAATTCACTTATCCTTCACCAGAATTGTTCTACCCTCTTTCATCAACATAAATCGATTGAGATTTTATTTTTACAATAGATAACAAAAATTTAGGCCATGGTTTGACTAACGAACATATACTACACTTTCGAATTTCAGACACATTGTGGAGGGTTGATATTGGACAAGGACTGATAATGGCAACGTGGAAAATAAGCTTTTAATGGGTTTGAATTTTACTGCTTATTTCGTCGACAATAAAAGCATTTTATCGGCAGTAGGCTAGTTTGCGTTATAATCTGGTTGCATGTTTTGTAATCAATTTAAACTTCTACATTTATTGTCGTTTAATGTGATATAGTTGTGGTAATTAACCGTACCGTTTTTGGGCAATGTAAAGACTTTGAACTGCTCTGTAGATCTTGTTTAGAGCACGCACGATTTCCTCCTTGTCGATTGCATCGTCCTTTACTTGTTGTACCAGTGTTCTCAGTCTAAAAATAAAGGAAGTCAGCCAAACTTGCTCTCCAAAAAAGTTAAATTTTTCGCAATTTCATCACCGAGAAAGAATATATATTTGCCAATCTTGTGATCTATAGTCATTGAGCCTTTTTATCAAATCTTCCCAAATTTTACGATACTTAGGAAATAGATTTCCCTCGTGAAATTTCATTTGGATTGCCCCAAACTATTTACAAGGAAAACGAAAAATTACCTTAAAAGTAGGTTTTTTCACATAAAAGTTGTACTATCTTGCTATATGGATCATGGAACATTAGTGATTATACATCATGTAATCTCAAAGCCTCATGCGTAAAATTAAATAATGCATATTATACCGGAGGGGTGCACCCTGGGCAACGTATACTCATATGACAAAATGGTCTATAAACCTGTAATTGACTTCAAACCACCACGACACGACTGTATATCATATTCGACCACTTCCACAGTGCTCACCTTACTCTACTCTCTACCTTTGTGTCTGACACTGTTGCCTCTGTGAATGACTCTTTTGTTTACTCTCTCGACTTATTGTGACTTTTATGCCAACTAAAGGGTACCATTTGATAAAAATATTGTACTGGTCGAATGCCATTCAGTGATTGCATATGCACACCAAAGTAAAGTGAAGGACGACCAAATCAAATGTCAAATGTACTGACTGAAACCAAACACACCTGAATGCTGGTCATATTGAACCATATACCTGGCCACTCTCTCTTCCTCATTTATACCGCGTTACCGTATATAACAAAGTGTGTTGTTCTCAATTTGTTCCATAAAGGATTAACAGAGAACGAATATAGTACTTCCACTTAAGAGGCAGCAGAAGATACTTTCAATGCCCTTGACCTGTTGTACCAATTGGTTTCTATTAACAAACTTATGGCCTATTGATTTAACTGAGTAAATGGAAGTTGAGTAATTGTTATCGAGAATCATGATATCTGCGAATAAAACAGTTTTGTCACACTTTCCACTACATCATCCTCTTCAAAAAAGGTAAGTACTTTGCATAAAGTTAAAGTATGGCTGAAAATAATTAGTGTGAATCATAAAATTTATTTATTTTATTTTAATTATGACGTTCATAATCTCATCGACATGCTCCTGACAGTGAATATAGCAAAAATAATTTCACCCATAAACCCAGGGCGTCAAATTGAGAAGTTAAACATTAACAAACTCCTTCAAATTCAAGGAAAAATAGCATTGCAGTCTCAACTTTGTTTGTTTCTTCCTCTTCTTTGACATTTCCAGTTTCATGACAAGTATAATTCAATTAATGTTCTTATAATTCGCTTTTTTTTCTATGACTAAAATAGGTGAAATGTTATGGACAGCAGCAATAATAAAATGGCAATTTGGAATAAATTACACTTGGTTATTTTAATTTATTACTCAAACTTAGTGAGCATAGCTTACGGAGATCGGGCGAACTGAAAATTTTCTTCAGTCGTACCTTTGCAACGCCAGTTGCTGAATATATTACTAGGATTACCTTACTCTAGATAAATCTTTGTTGAAAATCAATTAAATTCGTGTGGGGGATAACAATAGCGTATTACAAGGCAGGCGGCCTACCTTTCAGATGCTTCTCCAGACACAACCAGTGAACCGCGATCGGTGTCTAATCTAAAAAAATAAATCCCTTTTATTAAAGTACCGATTATATTCTTCATTAATTTGAAGTAAAACAAGTTAAAGCGAATTTAGTGCCCTCGATTTTTCAAAATACTTACACAGCTTTTGTGATTGCCTTAGAAACGTTTTCAGACTAAAATGAATGAAAAGGTGATAGATTTGAAATGAAAAATTACAGGCGTTTGTATAAATCAGCCTGAGATTATCATCTTTACTTGGAAGAAAGTTAGCTTAAATCTGTCATCATTTGTTTCAAATATGATTACAGAAGTCAATAGAAATCTGCATAAAGATGTGTTTTAGTGCTCTTTCGTTTATAAAAATATTGTCTCATCTGCCCTAGTTCACCATAGTTTCTATGTACAAAAAACCATTTCAAATAAATTTTTTTCACCTTTAGGATGGGTGTTATGTTTGCTCCTGGATAAATTGACGATTTTTCTCTTTTCTTTCCTTTAACATTTTTATTTGATTTTAAATTTAACACATTGAAACATAAACTGCCTTTATTATATATTAACACTCAAATCACCACAATAACCATAATTTAATATTTTTAAAAATGTTGATTTAATTAGCTTGGTTGACTTAAGCGAAAACGAGAGTAATATCAATCTTACTATCACGATAAAGTGTGGAATTGTTAATTTAAGGGATTTATTGCTTCTGAAAAGTGAAAGCACTTACAATCGCATGCCCTTTCATGGAAATATCGTCGCTGCAAAAGTAGGATTCGATCCAATATATAACCTGAAGGAGCACTAGCGTGAGGGCAGCTTCAACCAATGAAGGAACTATTGGTGGGAAGATAGCCAGTATTTTATAAATTCCTAAATAAATAATAAGCTCTTTCTTTTAAATGCTTCCAAGTTAAAGTAAACCACAGACTTGACCGACCACTCAGTGAGGTTTGGAGCTCTCTTATTGGTTGCTTTGGTCTGCAAGGGGGAAGGAGACTATCAAAGGTCTAGGGAAGTGATTGTAAGATATGCTAAGAGTATACGCACTTAGTTACATAAAAATTCCCCTCCCAATAATTAAGTAAAAAATGCTTTTAACTATTAAATTTCATTTAAATTTACCCCGACTCAGGGATACATGGTTTCAGCTTTTAATACCACAATTTCTGTCAGTTCATTTAAGTAAGATTTGAGGCCAATATTTTCCCTCAGTATAAAAGAAATACTATCTTCATTATAATGTTTATCCACCTGGTTTCTAATCAGTTTTTGTGCGAAAAAACGAAAATAAGTTTATTTATCTTAACTTTTAATTAAATTTTTAAAAATTCCATTACAAACATTTAAAAACCAACTTTTTCATTTCTAAATAAAACAAGGCAATTCTTGTTTAGTTTAAATTGATTAAAGGTCTAATTTACTTTCTTCTACTGGAAAAGTGGTACTAATTACAGAATATATGGAGAACGCAACGCCCACATGCCCGAACCAAAGAATCTCATGGGCCTTCTACTTACCCCGTAGCCATTAAGTGCGGCCGTGCTGCTGATCTCGTTAGGGAGTGTGTGTGCGGTCGTGAGCGCAGAGTCCTTTCAACCAATCAAAAAACTAGAGTCATGGTGTGGCCCGAATAGCCAAAACTACTTAGTCATTGAGCTCCGTGTCAGTGACACAGCACTAAAAAGCGTTCCAGGCCACACTTTTGTTTCCCTTATACCGTCGAGTTAGCTTAGCTAACCTTGGTAGCATCAGAGATAACTCAGGATTAGTAACAATGGGGTGTGCGATAGACTTACCTCCACGTGGTGCACCTTGGGCAACGTATACTCATACGGCAAAAAAGTCTATTAACCGGCAGTTGACTTCTGACTTCAAAATACCATGGCACGACTGCTTGTCATATTCGACCGCTTTCACAGTACTCATCTTACCCTTTTCTCTGCCTCTGTGTCTGTCCGCCTCTTTTACATCTGTGAATCGCTCTTCTGTTCCCCACCCCTCGACTTTCTGCTACTTTGATGAACCTTCCCTCTGTGAAGCCCGAAGTCAATTAAAGGGCTAATGATAGCTATCAAAACGCCTGCCATTTGAAATAAATAAATGTTCCGTACCCTCTGTGAAGCCCG